GTACACGATCCCGTACAACAGAACCACGCAGCAGTCGGGTAGCAAGATGCCGACAAATCCACATCACGGCATAGTACAGCCGTCCTTCTGGTGACAGTCGACGCAGTATAGACACAGGATGATCAAATAACTGCATATGTGGTATATCCGATAATATGCACAGATCATCCTCGCTGGAGTTCTTCCTAATTCTGTTACTATCATCAGTATTACTATTATTATTATTATTATTATTATTATTATTGGTGTTGTCACTGTTTGAACCCTCGCAGCCTTTTGGACATGAACGATGCCCTTGAGGGAGTTGCCAAATGCCAAGCCGAAATAGGCGCAGAAGCAAATGCATCAGTTGTACAGCATGTATACAGAGCGTTCGATGTGCCATTGCCACTGCATCTTCGTCCACTTCACGCTGTTTTTGTTGGTGTTGTGGTTGTTGTGATGGCGGTGACGGTGGCTGTTGCAACGAAGACCCGCCCGCGAGACCAACACATGCGGCTCCGATAACTTTTGCCCGCTCCGCAAGTTCCCCAACAGCACGCATAACTTCTCCAGAAAGAATTTCTACAAAACCCAGAGGCACATCGCCACGACGCAATCGTCCCAAAAACAACTCCGATACATCGGTTTCCCCATCTTCATTAGTGGCATTACCGACTCCTTTGTTTTCTGCCCGAACAGCGTCTATCCCTGCCAGTGGCTCTTCTGTAAAGGAGGCAAAAAACTCGTGCAGCAGTAACCAATGTCCCTCCACCGCGTCACATACCGCAATAGGCACATGTTTTTCAGGTGCAATAAACGTCGCATCCATGACGTGACGAGATCTTGCCAAGAGTTGTTTCATTCGCTGCAAAGATGCCGCCGTCTTGCCACCACCGCCACCATGTCCACGAGGAGTCTCTTTATTTTTTGCGGGATCACTCATGGCTCCCCCCACGGCGATTGGGAGGTGCTGCCACCCCAATTCATTCTCTGTCACTGTAAAACAGGCGGCAAGTAAATATTCTTCGGCCCAGCAGAGGGCCTGCATAAAACTGGAAGAACATGTCGAAGCAGCGGCAGCGGTGTCTGTGTCGTGACGCCAGACAACACTCTCGTCGTGTGGAAGAAAACAAACGGCATGCGAGAGACCAGATATCACAAAAGCCACACCAGTTGAAAGACACACCGCTGCTGAGGGAAGATGCGGTAGAGAATGATCCTTCAGCGCCGTGGTGACATGATTGGCATCAAGATCATCCTCAGGCAGGTGCTTTTTCCTTGCCATACGCTGAGCGGCAATGATCTCTGCGGAGATTGCACCATAATGTTGGTACAAGGACAAAAACTGTAGCATTGCCATAAAGAGTGGTGTGGAAAGCCCAGTCTTGGACCGATGACCAGCCGTCGCCGTTGCAATTAACGAGGCCATCATTGCCGGTGGAAGAGCCGCTGTGTGCTGCGGAACATTCGCCACCGTCTTCGGTAATGACTTGGATACGCCATAGAGAACGGCGCGAATCCTTGTGCTGATGGCACTGAAGTGGGCTGCGGCTTGTAATCTCGCACGCTCCTCGCCATTTACCCACAGCGGCCACCGCCCTACAACACCACGCCCCAACAAGACGGAGAGTAGTCGGTAAACATGTTCCTTGGGTTGACTCTCATCATCCCGCTGGGTTGTTACCGTAGGCATGTAACGACGAACAAGCCAGCGAAAAACGTCTTGCTGACACATGAGCGATGCCCGCGGGGTGACGGCAAGAAGCACCGCGAGTAGTAGTGTCTCGAGCCTCACACCGTAATATGGAAAAAGAGGAAGGACACCATGCTCCACCAGTAGCGTACATTGACTCTCACTACATCCAAGTGTCGTTCCAGGATGGGCAAGAAGATGCAGCATGAAAAGGGAACCGTCCTTGACAAGATCCTGTACGGCGGCAGCACTCAGCGATCCGCCCGCCGCAGCACTCACACGCAAAAGACAATCCGTATCCCTCTCTGTCTCTGTCTCTTTCTCTGTGAGGTTACCGACATCATCTTTCCCCCCTGTGGCCCGTGTCTTCCCTGTCGTTCCGGATGTGACATCATCACGTACACTATCCAAAAAGAACAGGGAACGAAACAGTTGCAGTAACGTCTCCCCCGGTTGAGGCGGTGTTTCTCGTTTTTTCCGTCTTGAATGTTCTCCAGTTTTTTCACCCATCACATCCTCCTCCTCACGTGATCTTTTGATGCCCTTCTGCTCCCGCTGCTTCTCCTGCGCAAAGACACGCTTCGATAATGCGTCATCGGACACCGTCGGTATTCTCGTTACACTGGCAGAGACGGCAGGAGCAGGAGAGGCAGCAGGTGTGACGAACGACGACAAGGATGGGAGTTTCATGTAGGCTTCGTGTGTGGAGCAGGCAAGATAAAACACCACAGCCCCAAATTCAAAAAGAGGGGCGAGTGGTGGGCAGGGAAAGTAAAACAACTCACGACGGGAAACGTGACCAAATTCACTTCGGACAACTTTAAAAAGTTGCAGCATAAAAGGCAACACGGTTTCATGCAACAATGTCAAAGAATATGGAGAAACAAGAACTGAATCGCACGCACTTGTCATGCCTTCGCTCATGTTGCCACCAAGGCCCTTTTCATTATTTGTTTCATTTGGCGCTGCTTCCTGCGAGCATCGTACCCCATATGGTCGGTGGCGTTCAATGTCTGCTCGCACGCTCCGCCCCAAGACGGCTGAGAAGCAGACACACAGTTGTGTTGTCATGAACGTCAGTGCCTCCATGCGCCACCCGTCTCGGCGTGTTGTGGTGTAAAAAAAATGACAGAGGGGCTTCACCAGCTCCAAGGGCATGGCCGATGTCAATGGGCAGTCATCCCGTGCCACAGTAACGAGGAGCTTCAATGCAATAAGCAGATGCGTCTCCAAACGTAGTGCGCTAGTCGGACGCATGTGGCGTTGAGTCGTCAGACGCACAAGTCGCTGCATAATAAACGGCATCGTCCCATTATTTGCTGTGGACGTCGACAAAAGTAAAGTCGCCTCATCCTCAAATGGCGTGAAGGCATTCATGAGTTGCGGTGCACGGAAGAGTTGAACCAGCAAGGCTGCAAACGTTGTGCCCTGCTCCACATGCGGATGATAAACGTCGTCTTCAACACGCCCCTCCACGCCATGAGGCGTCTGGTTGCCAACATCCGAGTGCGGTGACATTGCGGCCAATAACGGCAACGACGTCCTGTTGGTAGCAGTGGCAATGGTGGTGTCCGTGCTGTTCACTTCATACACGGTCCTCTCGATCAATTCCAGAAGTCGCATAATCATCTCCATAATTATCCCTGGCTGCAGATTTGACAGGTAGCCGTTGAATAGAAAAAGATGAAGCAGGAGTTTGGCGTACTCTTGACCGCAGACGGCCACCAGAACCTCCGACTGCAAAACCTCCAACGCGTGACGAGTGATGGAAAAGAGCGGCACGGCATTTTTCCACAGTAGTGGCAGGGAAGTATGATTCGCTGTCCTCGCCCAGAGATGTCGTGTTGAGAGCGAACCTGCCACAGACGACATTTCAGTTCTGTTTGCCGCGGCTCGCGACGTCATCCACTGACCGTCGAAGGCGTTCGACGCGGCCGACTCCTCCTCTGCATGGCCGCCTTGTCCCCCGCGTGTGCCACTTGCTGCCGCTCCTACTGCCGCCATGTGCGCCTCCTCGTTATCTGCGTTGCTGGACGTCCCGAGTGACGATGACGCCGGCGCGAGAAGTAGCGATGAAGGCAAGTTGTGATGAAGAGTTTCTACAAGCGCGCGCCAAGGCCGCACCACGTCCGTGCAAAGTTTTTTCGCCTTGTTATTCCTCAGCGCATCCAACTCCTCCTCGGCGACCAAAGAGGCAGATGACGTAGCGGCCAACGCCGTCAATTCATGTTGTCGTCGGGACGTGGCATTCGCACCGCGACCTGCTGCACGAGTCGCCATGGACCGCCGCCTTCCTGCGGCGCTGCAGTACTGCGTGAGCGCCGGCCTCACCACGCTGTCCATAACAACAAACAGAATGTTGTTTGTGACGTGCTGGCCAAATATGTTTTGGATGTGCGTTCCGCTCTGCTCCGCCACCGCGTCAAGGAATAGACGGAGATCGGAGAGGGACTTCTGAGCCTCCTTTGGGTTCGGCATTTGAACATCGTTGACAATTGCCGTCAGTCGGGCCTTGAGCATTGCCGTGTCCGCTACCATGACTGGCGCCGCCAAGGCGGAGGCAGCCGGGGTGTCAAAGAAGCCAATCAACGACGGTGACGAGGTGGAAAAAGTCTGATTGTTCACCGGCAAAGACATGTCTCACCCCTCACTCCTTCCTTCTCTCCCTTATATTTATTTCTTTCTTTGTGTGTGTGTGTGTGTGTCTTTTTCACAACGCCTTCTTCTGTAAGTGTTTAAATAATAAAAATTAAAAAAATGTCAAGCGCCTCGTAGAGCTTTCCCTCCCCTTTTCCCCTTCTCCCCCAGTCTGTAAAAATTCCCAACCTCCACTGTAGCTGTGAGTGTTGGGAAATGTATGCAACGTCTATCCGTCCCTTCCTAAACTCACACACACACACACACACAAAAAAAAAAAAAAAAAGGCAACAACAACAACAACAACAATGACAACAAAAATCCACAGAGTTGAGAGAGATTATAACACTCTTCTTTCCGAGGGTGTCAGTCAGAGGGAAAAAAAAAAATTTTCATACTTCCTCTTCCTCCTCTTATTCTACCTCCCGCTCTCTCTTTCTGTATATCTGTCGGCGTATGCCTGCATGTATGTATGTATTATCCTCTCACCCTAACCCAATGACTCCACGGCATTGTTGTCAGACAGGTATACACAAAAATACCTACGCAATGGTCGGATTTGATGCATGGAATCGGCGTCATGAGATGTCGTGAAGCCAAATTACAGAATACACACAAAGCAAAGGACAGACAGAGGCTCACTGCCGCACTACAAATGCCTATCCGTAGATATGTATGCCTGAATGTCTTAGCCGAGAATAAAAAAGAGCGAGTAGACCTTCTTCAATGGATCCCAGCTGCAATGATAACGTCCCTCCTCCTCATCACTGGCAGTTACCGCAACGTCACTCCCGTAGGGCGCCATTGTCTTTGCGGTCATGCCAACAGAGGAGGATGCGGATGTGCGCGGAAGTTTCGATGGAAACTTGACGGCAATCGTCACATATCCCTCGCATGCCAAAAGTAAATACACGACACTGTCATCCGGTGGCCTCTCCATGTCCTGCTCTCTCGCAGACCGCCAGCGGTGCAGTGGTCGAACCCCCGCCGCTGCCTGCGGAAAGAAAAATTCCATCCACACTTTTGTCTGAAACAACTCTGGATCATTTTCGGTGCAGTAATTGAACTGCGGCCTGCCAAACGGTGCGAAGGATGCGATGGCCGTGCCTGTCGCACCACCACGACTGCCTGCCTGCTGATCCTGCTGTTGTAATAAAAGCTCACGTGTCGCCTTTTCCTGCGCCGCGCGTCGGCATGCCTCCCTATTCAATTCCTCCTCAACCGCCAGCCGCTCCTCACGACGTGCATAACGCTCCCTGCGCTCCAGTTGTGTGCAGTGCGTCTTCCCTGCAATATGCTTCAAAAAGTTATTGTCATCTGTGCAGCAGACATCACAGAGAGTACATGTGACGCGGCCCATGTGGTTGCGCTTGTAGTACGGGTCACGGCGGGCCTGCAAGGATGGATTGAGGGCCTTCACAGACGACATCCTTCCCTTTTGACTATCCCACTGTACACCTGCACATCCACACAGAAACACACACAGAGAGGATAGAAGAAAAAAAAAAAAAAAAAAAGAGATTTGACCTCCGCCACAGCAACAGCACTAAGCGAGATAAGTAACAATGGCCTAACAGAAAAAAAAAGTGAACCAAAACTAAAGTAGGAAAAAGCAACAACAAAAATAAAAATAAAAACACACAACAAAAAATATAACAAAAAAAACAATCGCCTGGGCTGCTGGCCGGATCCTGAAATCATCAAAAGAAATCAAACAAGAAGAGAAAAGGGGGGTGGTGGAGAGGCAGTGGGTTCGCCACTCCCTCGATGTTTGCTCCAAGTAAATATATTCCGATAGCCACTCACGCGACACGGTGCACCTTGTTAGGATTGGAAATACTATCGCATACCAAGTGGCAGACCCTGGGCTCCGCCAGCCACAAGGCCCCGCCGCGAGGTGGGAATCAAAAAGAGGGGGTGGTGGGAAAATAAGAAATAAAAAGTAAAAAAAAATCCGTCTTGTCGCTATCGGCTCCCTGGTTCCTTCAATCACCGCCTTCCAAAAATTCATAGGATGGAAAAGAATCGTGCAGAAACATCTCCACTTTATCAGGACATATTCATTTAGGTGACCAGCTTCCCCCGCGAACATCCTTTTCACAAGCTTTAAAAAAAATAAACCAAAACAACATTAAATAAAATTTAAAATTAAGCGCACCGACGCTTCCCCCCACAAGTGGCGGGGCGGCGGTAGGAGATGTACATCAGCGCGCGGCCGTCGCAGAGAATGCACGGGCAGGCGGCACGGGGCCAGAACGCACAACCAAAGACACTGGAATATATACATCCACACCGCTGCAGGGTGCTCAAATATACGCGGCGCAGGCGCCAGTCGGTGCTCCCGCGCGTGTGGGCAGTGGCCGCACACAACGGGACTCCACACCGACGGCGCACGCGCCCCGCCCCGCACTCAGCACGCAGCACCGGCGGTCGCCACAGCGGCACTGAGCAGCAGCAGCAGCGACACCTGCACCCACACAGGGCCGCCAGGGCTGCGCGCGTCTTCAGGAGTCGGTGCCTTGGAGGTAGTTGTGGTCGTGTTCTTGGGCGCCTTGGAGGTAGTAGTAGTCGTAGTAGTTGTAGTGTTAGTCGTATTCTTCTTCGGGTCGCCCCCAGCAGCCTTAAAAACAGCAGCATCGTACTGCCCCTCCTCCTGGGCCGTGGCGCACACGCACGCACAGCAGAGGGCAAACAAAAGCACGCAGAGGACGCGGCGCAGCATCATTGTCACTTGGGCCTTTGTGGACTTCGCTTGTTGCTCGCGGTGTAAACTCTCCTGTCGGGCCGGCACCGGGCAGGCACAACGAGAGCACGCAGCATGGGAGGGAGAGACACGGGCAGGTGCACAGCATACACACAAAAGAACAGAGACAGACAGACAGCGGGGGAGTGGGACCGAGACGCGACGGAGCAGCCACGCCACGCCGCAGGGGCACCAGCACACACACACACACAGTCAGCGCCCACAACAAACAAACCCAACCCGATGAAAAAAAAAATATTCGCCTGGGCTGCTGGCCGGATCCTGAAATCATCAAAAGAAATCAAACAAGAAGGGAAAAGGGGGGTGGTGGAGAGGCAGTGGGTTCGCCACTCCCTCGATGTTTGCTCCAAGTAAATATATTCCGATAGCCACTCTCGCGACACGGTGCACCTTGTTAGGATTGGAAATACTATCGCATACCAAGTGGCAGACCCTGGACTCCGCCAGCCACAAGGCCCCGCCGCGAGGTGGGAATCAAAAAGAGGGGGTGGTGGGAAAATAAGAAATAAAAAGTAAAGAAAAATCCGTCTTGTCGCTATCGGCTCCCTGGTTCCTTCAATCACCGTCTTCCAAAAATTCATAAGATGGAAAAGAATCGTGCAGAAACATCTCCACTTTATCAGGACATATTCATTTAGGTGACCAGCTTCCCCCGCGAACATCCTTTTCACAAGCTAAAAAAAACAAACCAAAACAACATTAAATAAAATTTAAAATTAAGTGCACCGACGCTTCCCCCCACAAGTGGCGGGGCGGCGGCAGGAGATGTACATCAGCGCGCGGCCGTCGCAGAGAATGCACGGGCAGGCGGCACGGGGCCAGAACGCACAACCAAAGACACTGGAATATATACATCCACACCGCTGCAGGGTGCTCAAATATACGCGGCGCAGGCGCCAGTCGGTGCTCCCGCGCGTGTGGGCAGTGGCCGCACACAACGGGACTCCAGACCGACGGCGCACGCGCCCCGCCCCGCACTCAGCACGCAGCGCCGGCGGTCGCCACAGCGGCACTGACCAGCAGCAGCAGCGACACCTGCACCCACACAGGGCCGCCAGGGCTGCGCGCGTCTTCAGGAGTCGGTGCCTTGGAGGTAGTTGTGGTCGTGTTCTTGGGCGCCTTGGAGGAAGTAGTAGTCGTAGTAGTAGTTGTGGTCGTGTTCTTGGGCGCCTTGGAGGTAGTTGTGGTCGTAGTAGTTGTAGTAGTGGTAGTCGTGGTAGTCGTAGTAGTAGTGGTAGTGGTAGTCGTATTCTTCTTCGGGTCGCCCCCAGCAGCCTTCAAAACAGCAGCATCGTACTGCCCCTCCTCCTGGGCCGTGGCGCACACGCACGCACAGCAGAGGGCAAACAAAAGCACGCAGAGAACGCGGCGCAGCATCATTGTCACTTGGGCCTTTGTGGACTTCGCTTGTTGCTCGCGGTGTAAACTCTCCTGTCGGGCCGGCACCGGGCGGGCACAACGAGAGCACGCAGCATGGGAGGGAGAGACACGGGCAGGTGCACAGCATACACACAAAAGAACAGAGACAGACAGCGGGGGAGTGGGACCGAGACGCGACGAAGCAGCCACGCCACGC